GCTTAGCTGTTTGGGGTCCGCGTTGGCATAGGTAAACCAGCTTCAATGAGAGGTCCTTGCAATAAGCCCTAGTCCCTGGAAACTTTAAGCCCTCAGCCCTGAAGTTCAATAAGCTCCCGTGGCCTGAAAACCTGGAGCCAAGCCAAGATATCCAGAACTCTGGCTCAGCTCATGTTTCAAGTTCAGGGTTTAGGTTTCTCGTGCTTCTAAATCCCACGCCCAAAAACGCACTGCCTCGATTCCCGAAGGTCCTTGTCGTGGATGCCCTGCTGAAGTCCGGCCGCACCCACGGAGTGTCCATGTCGAACTCAGGGTCCTGACGGCTTAGAGTCAGAGTTCAAGGAATCACTTGGCCGCTCTCAGCGAGCGGGAACGCGGTAATCGAGTGAGCTGGTATCATGATTAACGCCTGTGCTTGTTCGTACCTCGCACTACAAGGCCTAATCGAATTCTAATCGACTTAAGCCCCAAACCCTTAGCCCTAAACCCTGTTGCAAGGTCCATTGTTGCTCTTGCTTCATCCATCCTGAACCCCCGACACGCGTGCGTACAGATAGACAAACTTAAAAGGGCGCTCGCGGTGACGACTCAGGCATGAGCTCGCACTCAATTAGTGTAGTAGAATAGTAGCTCAAATAGTGTTGTATAATAAAGGTATAGTAAAATCAGATAATAAACGACAGTATGGTACATTCTAAAACAGAATAACAAGCTTTGATGACTGCACGCTGCATTTAAGTTCTTTCCAGGACCAAGCAAGGGATGCGGACCACTGACCGCCGCCCAAAGCGCGTTCCCGCATTAGGTGAATATGGCACATGCGATAGACGGACTACTTTGCCAGAGGTAGGATGTACGAAAGTGTAACAAGTGAGTCGAGAGCCATGCCTCATGTCCAGAACATCTGGTGTTCCTCTTTGTCAAAGCCTCCGGAAAGCACTGCCTTCCTCTCCAAAATCCCGCTGAAATCTTCTTAGGCAACTTTCTGTTTGCATGCATGTTGTGTTTCCTATCTAGTTTATGTGACAGAGGTGAGTATGTTTCTATATCTGTGTATGCGCCTTTGGTAATATACATACACGTACTGTAGGTGGATTATTTCAAGGCCTAGCAACAGACACGAGCACCAAATATCACTCAGGATACAGGCAATCGTACCCCTATTCGATATGACTGTTTGTGCATGTGCAGCTCTATATGTACTTGGTCAGATACCAAAATACCCACATCATAATCCGAACAGTGTTGGAAAGCATCGTACTATTGCTGATGTTTGTTGCGTAAAATCGACAACCGTTACTAGCCGTGCTGAGGGCTGTTGCTAGACAGCAAGAACGCCGGCGAATAATGCTGTCGAAACCGTTGCTGCAATGACGTTTATGCTCCCGTTGCTGCTTCTGTTCTCTTCTCTGCCCGTCGTCACTACCGCATGGCCATTGGCATTGCTGCCACTATGAACATCAGACGTATTTACTTCATCACCACTAATGTTCGTCCGGAGTGCTTGTGGTCGTTGCTTGTTGCCCAGATGTCGATCGCTCGTATCTTCATCTCAGCCCCGGGGCAAGGTCCGAGCTACTCACATTTCGGCCTTGCACAGGCCCTGGAGCTCGCTACTTGGCAGCATGCTTCGACTGTTTCTGATTCGATCGTCTAGCCCTAAACCCTAATCCCCTTGTAGGGCCATGAGGCTTGCCTTGAATCCCTTGGGACTGAACTGCTTCATGGGTTCATGGCTCCCAGCTAAAGGTTTCAACTCGGAAGAATTTCAATAAAGCTATTTGGGGATGTCTTGGAAGACGGCTTCTCCTCTAAATTCATTCTGGCGTGGTTTGATTCTTGCGGCATTGCCTCACCACACCATCTATCGCGCCGTAATTGGAACAGGGCTCAGTGGCACGGCATCCCCTCCCGAAGTCATCAAGGTTACGACTGCGCGGCTACATCTCCGACCACCCTCTTTGCGTGCTCCACACCCTACACTGTAAGTGTTGAAGACAGAGCAACTATCGGACGACGCAGAACACGACCACGGCATCATCTTCTTCACAATCATCACCATCCTCGTGTTAGTGTTCTTATTCTTTTTTCTTCTCCTTAAATTAACTTTCATCTCCATCTTTATCTTTATCTTCTTCATCATCGATACAATCGCCATCTCCCTTGTCGGAATCTTGCTATGGTCAACTTGACCATCGAGGTTGTACGAAGTCAACCTAAGAGGCTGAAGAACGACAGAGAGGCATGAGGCATCAGGAAACATCCTGCAATGCCGTCTATCTTATTTGGGCACGCTCCAGGACGACACAGAATCTCATTCTATGGCAACTGTCTCTTTCCATAGCTTGTTCTTCCTGTTCCCTGTGTCCCTCTATGAGTAATGGTCGTGCTGTCCTCAGACTGCCTGCCGCGCTTCCTTTTTGCGTCGCCGCAGTTTGGATCCTAGCCGAAGCCCTTTTGGTACAAATGGGTCAGTCTGCCAGGGTGCACGAAGAGCTTGTGCATTCAAGTCCGTGCGTCTTCTCCGCATCTGGCAGTACACCTTTGCACCTTTGTCTGCTTCGCAGGACTCACCTGCCTTATAGAAATACCGTGCTCGGCGAAGGGTCAAGGATAGCAGACGCTTTGTCACGGACAACAGCAATTTTTTCCTTCCCTGGTGGCCCGAGCATCTCAGGTTCGTGCCCTCCGTCCCAAGAGGGCCTTGCTTGTTGGCATGCCCCCAGGCTGCAGGATGCCGGAGCTCTTAGCAGCAGAAGCATTCCGTTCCAATGACTCCCCAGAGACTCATAGAGCTGAACATCGAGCCCCCTGTAGCCCTGAGCCGGAAGCAGCCTCGATCCTTTTGCATGAGATGCCCAGAATCTGAAGAAGATGCCTGCAGCGTCCGGTAGTCCTTATGTACAGGGGTTCAGAAGCGGCTCAGAGTCCCGAAAGCACTCATGCAGAACCCTGCCGGCTGAAGCCGTAACTGGTAGGAGTAAGAGCGGGTTTAGAGTTGGGGTTCTGTGAATTCCACAAATGCTCAAACCACGTACCACACTGCAAACCTGCGTCTGAGTAGCAGAGGTATCTCGAACCATGGCCTGGGGGCTTGTGGGGTCCCTTGCTTTCGCGGGGCCTTGCTTTCTTTGTATCTAGTCCAGCCTCTCTGCATCTTCAACTGACTGCCATCATGTCCAGGACATGAACCCTAAACCCTAAATCCCAATGGCCACGTTTCCGTTGCTGGAATCTTGCTGACCCCTGCGGGTATATAACATCCCCCAAGTCTAAAGCCTCTGTAAACATTACGGTTTGCACAAGCCGAAGAAGTCAGGTCTTGCCAGTTCGACCATGAACGCGATAACGCCGAGCCTTGGACTTCTAGTCGTCTAGTCTTCTTCGGGTTGGTTTAGGGGTGGTTGGGATTAGGGTTTAGGGTTTAGGTCTTTGGGTTTAGGGTTTGGGGTTTAGGGCGAAGGGTTTAGGGATTAGGGAATAGGGGTTTAGGGTTTAGGGGTGGTTGGGTCTCAGCACAGACTTTCCTTCTTCGGAGCTGCAGCGCTTAAGGATGCAGGGCTGCCTTGGATGCATGACTTCAACGCCGAACCCGTTGTACACTGTTGGAATATGCTATAAGATACCAGAAAGTACTAGAAGATGCTATGATATACTGTAAAGTACTATAAGATGCTGCAATATACTAGAATGTACTATAAGATGCTATGATATACTATAAAGTACTATCAGATGCTATAATACAGTTCGCCAAGGAGCTGCGGAAGTTGAGGATGGAAGGCCTCGAGGCAAGCCTCTTGCTGTCTTGGGGTCGGCTTGTCTCCAGAGCATGAACGTGCTAATCTAAGCCTCGTGGACGACAACCAGCGGTGGCCGTCGTCGCCGTCATGGCGGCCGTCCCTGTTGTTGTGGTCGTCGTCTCTGTCGGAACGTCGCAGTCCTGGGCACAGTAACAGTCATCGTCGCAGGGATGGCGCGTTGTTAAGTTGACTGTCGTCGTCGTGATGGTGGGTGTGGTGGATGGCCATTTCTCTTGCGGTGGTGGTGATGGTCGTTGTGGTATGTTATGCTAACGGTGATCGTCATTGTCACCTTTCTTGTGCTAGCAATGGTCCGGGCGCACGGCGGAAGCAAGCGAAACATCCAACGTGGTTTCGCATCCTTCTCGCCAGTCTCATCACTGTCGAACCACATGCAAGCCATAATTTAACTTTGACGAGTACAGCAATGACATCTCAAGAGCACACGAAGTTTGGATCACTGAGCTGAATAGCCAGGATACCCAGCAAAAGAGCACCAACAAGTCGGCGCAACAACGCTGCTTGACAACAATAGGTCAGCAAGTAGTGACCACGGCAGCAATAGTTGTCGTAGATTTTGCAAAACAAAAGGTTCGACGGAATGCAATGGAATGATGCCCGGTGAGTGTTGACAAAGCGTGGCTTCCGTTCCAACAGGAAGAAGCCAGATCCCTGACCAGACAGTACATATCTTGGCTGCTGTGGGCAGTTCCAGGCAGTATATACACTGTCTGGACGATCACCCCGAGTTCTGACGAGTTCTTTCCTGCTGTTTCAATGTAGTGATGTTTGCAGGTTGCACCAAGGTGCCGACGGCAAGAGGAGACGAAATACATCAATGTCTCGAAACCAGTATGGTAGTACAGGAGAATTGAACCTAAACCAGATCGATCATGAAAGGTCACACTGGCACAGGAATGGTCAGTGTAATCTAATCCACGATGCCTAGACTGCGATGTTTGTGACGCAGCATCAACCGCAAGTCGGCTCTAGAATTTCTTCCGACATCGTCCAGGAAGTCGAGTACGAAGCAGAGACTTACAGTAACCTTCGACGCAAAGTGGCAACTGTAAACTTGGTTCTAGCTACTGCTACAAACCGTTACTACACCCACGGTTAGAGGGCGTCGTATGTTAAGCCTCGACTGCTAGCTGAGAGCAGGTGGAGCTCGCATTTGATGGCCTGCAGTTCGATCTTCAGATGGAAGCAGCTCTCCCGATTCCCGAAGTGGAGGCTACAACTTCCGGACAAGGGTTTGACACGACAGGTCCATGAACATGTATACTTAGTGTTCTCGGTTATGTTTCACTAGATCGATGTATATATGCATGTATATGTATGCATTGATACGCGCTGGTGCATGAATGCATACATGCATGTACGCATGCTTGGATGGATGGATGGATGGATGGATGGATGGATGGATGGATGGATGGATGGCTGGGTGGATGGATGGATGGATGGATGGATGGATGGATGAATGGACGGATGTGCTCATGTGTATTCATGTTGTATGTATCTCAACCCTTAATGCCGGCAGGGCTGTTCGAGGATTGCGCAAGACTCAACATTGGCCCTCCCTGTCGGTACTATAAGCCTTCTGTAAGCTACCGACTGCTCGGACCCTCGACAGGAATTGGAATCTAGAGGGAAACTGCAAATGCTCTGCAGAATTGAGCTCAGGAGACGCCCCATCCCCAAATGGTCGGCATGCGAACGGCAAGCCATATCCACAACCCAAGACCCAAAGCACAACCACGCCCCGAAACCTATACGGCCCTACATGAAGCTGTACCTCCTAAACCCTACTCCCACAAGCCTGAACCCCAAGCCGTCAAGGAGGAGGGGTCCTATGAACTTCAACTCCCCGCACAGACAAGCCGCACAGCGACTTGGACAGCAGCTGCGCGGTGTTTGAGCGGGTTAAACAAGTAAGAGAAAGAGATACACAGACTCAGACATCTATACCTGTGTAGACATAGAAGAGAACCTAGGTGACGGTATGTACGCATGTATGTATGTACATGTATATAATCGAAGCTACTGCCTACTCCATGGGCTCTCTTCCCCCACCGAGGCGTGGCTGCGGCAGCTTGCAACACAGAGGCGATTCATGCCGAGTATCTGTCAATGTTGCAGCTAGTGGCTTTGCATACGCCTCTGCCTTGCACAGAAAGGAAAACCTTGGGAGCGGCACCACGCAGCGCTAGTCTGGCACAGCAGTTTTCAAGTTTGAGGCTTGGGGCAGGGCATGGTGGTCGCATTTCAGGCTCAATGCAGTGGACAAGCAAAGATCCAGCCAAGGCAACAAGCAGTTCAGTCAGGGCTGTGCTGTCAAGAGACGCGATTGAACAAGCTGTGAGAGTCGCGATGTTTGCTGCAGCATGGCAGCAAATTGCCTAAGCAACTAACGTGGCACACGATTAGATCATCCAAGTCATGCCAAGCCATGGACCTCCCTGGAGAAGGGCGCGCTGACCCCTCCGAGCTCCTCGTTTAAACCTGGCCTTGAGGCCTTAAGGTTTGATTTCTGAGGATCGTTTGCAGCTGAATCTGAACCTAGAGTAACCTCGACTCTAACCTCATTGAGTGATGCACATCTGAACTAGATTGCGGTCCTCTGAACCATCGATCAGATCACGCAGCTGAAGAGACGAGGATAACGCATGTTCACTGTAATCTAATATAATGTAATATAATACAATGTACTGTAATATAATTGTCTGCGTGTGTTCACGTTTGTCTGTCCATCGGTCCATCAATCGGCCCGTTTGTTTGTCTGTCTGTGTCTGTGCGCATGCCTGTGTATGTGGGTCTCTTTGTGTCTCTGAGCTAGTAGCCTCGAAAGTACAAAGCCCCTGATCCCGTACGTTGATGGCGAGCGTGTTGGTGTTGGCAATCACTGTTTCAAGCGTTTACCTTCTCGCAGCAGTCGTACCGGCTTGTTGTACCATCGCTCCCGTTCACTTTGTCGAAAGTTGCAAAATGTAAATATATAGATGAGCACTGCTGGCATGTCCTTTGTGGGCGTGAGGACCATTGACAACTAGTTTGCAGCAGCATGATTGTGACAGGCCACTGAGATTCTGCCGAGGTTTGTCAACGCATATGTGCGCATTGCAGATCTGCTGGCGACTAGGCGGGCTGATGTTGTAGGGCCGTTCCTGCACCCTGAAAGAAAGTATCAATGCCAAACCGCCAAGCGGCTGCAAACTGCAGCACATAGTTGCCTCCGGTTTGGAATTGCGCGGAAGTTTAGTTGCTTCTCGGGTTAAAGATGTACGTGAGGAGTTGATTTGTTATCGTAGGATCCTCATTATCAGGCCCTTCTTGAATTCAAGACATCTTCTGCCTGAACCCATAAATCCGTATAAACCCCTCAACTATCTTTTTCGATGAGCGATGTCGCCCACTGTCTACTACAGGGGCCTTTCTACAAGACTCTTCCTTTGAGCTCCTTATTACAACTATGGCACAAGACCCCCGGAAAAGAGTCCTTTTATTTATCTAGAGGGGTTAGGATCTTTTTTTAATACAAAAGTAGGTACCTTCCAAAAAAACACGGGTAGGGTATGACTCTACATAGGTAAGGCCCACATATGCGACTTTCCGGAAGACCTAGGAAGAGGCCAAAGTATACACCGCAGCCGATAGCTCCAGCAGCATCCGAAGGTAAAACGACTTGTAGGTAGGCCGTTGGGGTACACTATCGTATGCTTTAGTGCGTCCAGCCTTTAGGTGTGTAATTAGGGTTTAGGATGAAGATCTTAGTCTTGTTTGCGAACATGTTTAAGAGGGTTTGGAGGGCATCCCGGTTCCATGCAAGTCCAGTTAGTTTTAAGCCCCAACCTTGGCCCAGCTTAGCTCGTGATGTTAATGCTATCCGTCGATAACCAGCAAGCAGGTGCTGGGGCAGGAACAGGACGCAGGAGCCTTGAAGCTTCTAGGTAAGGCACAGCTGTCAGACGGAATCAGAAGATACTGGCCTCTGCTAGGCTTTGAACTGCCCCAGCTTTTCTCCAGCAGCTCATGCGCGGTTCAAGCACTGATTGATCACGACCGCGACAATCCACATAAGTTTATGTCCGGCTGCGCGGCGCCATGCGCTGCGGGATCCTAAGGCCTCCCTTACGAGGAGTGCCGGGAGAGCGGCAACCGGGCTCGCGCCACGCGCTCTTCACTCTGTCCTGCATCAATGCACTAAATTTCGCGGACCGCTATGTGCCCGCATCGGTGAAGCCGCAGATCGAGAAGGACCTTGGCTTGTCTGATTGGGAGAGCGCTATGCCTGCCATGGCTATGACCGCGGTCTTCACTGCAGCGAGCTTAGTCTTTGGACTACTTGCTGATCGGGAGTGTGTGGACAGACGGCTTCTCCTCGCAAGCGGCATTGGCTTCTGGTCTCTGGCCACAGCCTTGGGTGGCTTCGCGCAAGACCTCACGCAGCTGGTGCTCTTCCGGTCATTAGTGGGCGTTGGGGAGGCCTCTTTTGCGACCGTGGCGTCGCCGATGATCGCAGACTTTTACCCGGGTCCCCAGCGCAATCGTGCCTTCACCATCTTCAGTATGAGCGCACCGGTTGGGGCTGCCCTAGGGTTCGGTGTGGGTTCGATGCTGGGCCAGAACTTGGGCTGGCGCACTGCCTTCTTCGCCTGCGGCTTTCCAGGAATACTCGTGGCCACCTCCGTTCTCTTCCTGAACGATCCACCCATGGGCGTCAACGATGAGCTCGAGGACCCAATGAACCTAGACGAGGAGTCCTCCGACGACGAGGACTCTGAGGAGTCACAGCCAGTGCGACGGGATTGTGCCTTCCTGAGAGAGGGTTGGGTGCTGTTGAGCAATCCTTTCTTCCTCTCCGCGACTTTGGGCAGTGTGGCCATCTCCTTTGCGGTGGGCGGCCTCACTGAATGGTACCCGACTTTCCTCTATCGCTACTCGGACCTCTCGCAAGCAATGTCTGGGATGGTACTCAGCGGCAGCTGCGTTATCAGTGGCTTTGGTGGCACTGTCCTTGGTGGAAAGGTCGCCGACAGTGCCGCTCGCCGGTGCAGCATGGGCAGCAGCGCCTACTTCCTGGTTCCGGCGTGCTTCATGATGCCAGGCGCCGTACTGATTGCAGTGGCAGTGAACTACTTGGAGACATGGTCTCTGGTGGTGTGTCTCATCTTTGGCCAGACCTTCTTCTTTGCGTACCAGGCACCTATCGCCGCGCTCTCGATGTCGGTGATTCCAGTCCACAGCCGTGCGAGGGGGTCAAGCTTACAGATTTTGCTGGGCCATGTCCTCGGTGACGTGATCAGTCCGCCCATCATCGGCCACATCTCCGATGTTGCGAACCTTCAGCTGGGATTGCAAGTGACCTGGGTGGCTGTGCTCGTTGCAGGCCTATCATGGTTTGTAGGCTATTGCTGCCTGGGCAGGCCGCCCATGGTGGTCGTTCCGAAGCAGCCCAAAGACTCGGGCACCATCCGATTCATCCTTCAGAGGGGAATGAGTTCCGTTTGTGGCTGTCAATCCGATACAGGCTCACAATCTTCCGAGGGGCACAACTAACGTTCCAAACCTCTGCGGCGCCCCCAAGCCATTGTTCCAGCCATATAAGGCATTTCTTACTTCAAAACTTGCTTCCAAACCCTAAGCTCTCTACAGCGCCTGAAGCTCCGAAACCTGAGCCATTGCCAAAATTCGACACTCGGGGCTTCTTGGGCGTGCTCGAAAAGAAAAAGGCGACTTGCTCTGGGATACAGATGGTTGCCTTGCTTTGCAGTTTAGGGTTGGTGTCTTGAACCAAACGGATCGGGTCCTAGCCTAGGCAGCAGAGTGGCGGGATTCGGAGTACTGACATACTTCAGCTTCTCACGTCTGCTTGCGATCCGAGGCACTGTTAAATCCAGAGATCCTGCTAAGGCTCCGGGGAAAGTATGGGTGCTCTCCTACCCTCCAGTAGTGGTCTAGTGGCTGGCAGACCAACTTCACCTTGTAGGTAAAACTGATTTACCTGGCTTTACCTCAGATGCGTGCACCTAAATGAAAACACAGACACAAACACATATATACACACATACACATACACATGCACATGCACATACACATACACATACTTTTGCTTGCTTGCTTACTTACTTACTTACTTACTTACTTACATTAATTAATTCATTCATTCATTCATTCATCCATTTCATATGTATTCAGACAGGGTCAGACTGGAAATAGATCTAGATCTCGATATGGATATAGAACGATATAGATATATACATACTCATGAGTACATGTACAACATACATCTTCGTATATATTCATGTATGTATAGACTAGAGACAGATCTGCATCTATGTGCACATAATAAAATAGCAATAAAAAAGTACATACTACAAAATTGTTTATATACACACATACGTACGTTACATACATACATACATAC